GTATTAACAAATAAATTATCTCTCTCTTTATTGAATTATTTTATACAATTTTGGTAAGTTTTTCTCCAAAATGTCAAGAAGACCATGTAAATGTTGACATTGTGGCTGACATTGCAGAGAAAAACTTACCAAATTTGTATAAAATCATTTGAATAAGGAGAAAAATAATTTATTTGCTAATATTTATGTGACTATCTCTCATGCCACATGTGCACCGTGCACATTACAGCATTGGAGATGCTCTTATATCGTATTGTTTGCGCACAGACAAATTTGTTTCATTTTCTGAAGAGAATCTTTTTTCACACTGACAAATTTTTTCCCAAACAAAAAATAATCGGTGCGAAAAATGATTTTCTTCACGAAAGAAAATGTTTAAGACAATTCGGCCGGCATATACAATAAGGGAAATGCTTAGTATACACACCATGTACACAAGTTGTACATGGTATAAAAGCAAAAAGAAATCCCATTCCCCCCTCCCGTTTCTCCCTCTCTCGGTTCTCTCTCCCTTCTCTCTTCTTCCTCTCTCCCTTCTCTCTTTCCCTTAGGGTATGTTTGGTTCAAGGAATGTCAAATTACTATGAGAATGTCAGATTGCTGGGTATGTTAGATTGATGGGAATGTGTCATAATTTATTTGGTTGAAAGATATCTTATATTGCAGATATGATGAATTACTTTTATGCCCTTTAAATATGTTCTCTTAACGCAATAAATCTATTACAACCTACATCTAAAGTGATTAAAATTAAAGAAAAAAATGAAATATCTTAGGAAAAATTGATAGTAATAATCCCAACTATTGGCGGTCCGCTCATAATAATCCCAACTATTGATTATTACAGAATAATCCCAACTTTAGGGACCTTCCGCCTATAATGGTCTCTATGAATAAATTCTTGTAGTGTCTAAAGTGGATGAGGTGAGATATAACAAGTAATCCCTATAAATAATCTCAACTTTTAATTTTTACGCTTAATTTCTATTTAAAATTCACTTTTTATAGAGGTAATATATGGTCATGGACCATTATTGGCGGATAGTCTATATAGTTGGGATTATACAAAAATAATCAATAGTTGGGATTATTTTCAGCGGACCGGCAATAGTTGGGATTATTATTTTCAATTTTTCCAATATCTTAATAATAAATAAAATAAAACCTAATTGAATTATTTTTAAGTAAAATATGTTTAACTGTAAAAAGTTGTAGATCCAATACAGAAATGAAAAAAAACTTTGTTCAAATAGTAATATAAATATATTTATCATCATCTCAAAAAAAATTAAAAAATGATCAAGTTATTCGTAAAACTTGTTTTCAGAATAAGAAAAAATGACCAATTTCGCTATTAAATTTTGTAATCAATTAACTAATCCAAACTTAAATAATCTATAACTCTTATAACATAAATACCTTAAAAAAATTAAATGTTAAGGGAAAAAATTATGCAAATAACAAGAATAGACATTCAAATATAATTAATACTCCGTCCATACCACCTAAAAGGTTGTTACACAATTTACGATGTTTGACATACCATTAAACTAACCGATCCCTGTCAATAATAAGATTATTTTTAGTAAATAAAGTTTACATATTTAGAGACTACATTAAAAGTTTTATAAAGTCACAAAAAATAAAATTTGATAACAGTTGAATATATAAAGAAATTAAATAAAAAGAGATAATTAAGTGAAGGTAGTTGCGGAAGAAATTAGATCACCCCGAGAATGTGAGATAACCTAAGGAATTGATGGGTTTAACATTCCCCTTCTTATTACATTCCCGGGAATGTAATTTTCCCGATTTTTTTCTAACCTGTGAATCATACAAGGGTATCTAACATTCCGTGCATTACATTTTGGCCTTTATGTGAGATCACCCCAACCAAACGGGCACTTAGTTTATTGGATGGTTGGTTGTCAAGACCGAGTGTGGGCTTACGGCAGTATAATAATTGAGATTTTAGATTTGATGGACACCTAGCGCATCTGGTGTAGTGGTATCATAGTACCCTCCCACGGTACTGACCGGGGTTCGATTCCCCGGATGCGCATTATTTTTTAAAATTGTGCAGCATTTCTCAGACGCATCTTACCGGCCGTCCAAATCTGAAAAAAATATATCCAAAACTGAAAATCTATATACTCCGTTCTCTTTTAGTTTCAACGGTCAACATTTTACACATGCCAATGCACGTCTTTGACCATAATTATATCTTAATCTATATTTAAAAATTAGATTTTGAAAATTTGTAATGAGATGAATTGAACAATATTTTTTAACAATTAATTAGATGAATTGAAAAAAATTGTGCAGCATTTCGCAGACGCATCTTATGTCCAAATCTGAAAAAATTATATCCAAAACTGAAAATCTATATACTCCGTTCTCTTTCAGTTGCAATGGTCAACATTTTACACTTGCCAACGCACGTCTTTGACCGTAATTATATCTTAATCTCTATTTATAAAAAATATTTAAAAATTAGATTTTGAAAATTTGTAATGAGATGAATTGAACAATATTTTTTTAAATAATAATATAAAATGTAGTCAAAGTAGAACATGTGAATATTATAAAATTCAATATGTGAAAATAGAGTGACCCACGGGGAAGTGAAGTAACAGAAAGAAAGGATGACTTAGTGGCTTAAGTAAGGCATTGGTTTGCTAAATTGACATACAATATGACATATTCCCTCTTAGGTAGGCTCTCTCTCTTGATATACTATCCTCCGTTTTTTTAATCGCAACATGTTAGATTTTACACTCTTCACATGTTCTACTTTGACAACATTTTACGGTATTATTTTATGAAAATTATCTTTAATTAAATATTGTTCGATTCATCTCATTACAAATTTTCAAAATCTGATTTTTAATTATTTTTTACTAATAGAGATTAAGATATAATTACGGTCAAAGACGTGCATTGGCAAGTGTGAAATGTTAACCGTTGCAACTAAAAAAGAACTTAGGAAGTATATAACATGAACTTCTCAAGAGCATACAGAGTGTCACATAATCCTGTCATGTCATCATATATAACAATTATTTAATTACTTTCTATACCTTTTATTTTCTACAGAGTATTACGCTTTGTATATTCATCTAATTTGGTAACTTTATCAACTTTAAAATCAGATTTTAATTTATGTGTATTAACTTTACAAGTCGGCAAGATTTTAATTTCTAATTTAACAATTTAGAAACAAAAACCTACGTAAGGATTGATGACAGTAGCATAATAAGCATGAGAAAATATTTCCATATTTTGAAGTTAATACAAAATTACAAATTACAAATTCTGAACAAATTACAAATTCTAGGCTATATTTCTAAATAATCACAATTACAAATTCTAGGCTATATTTCCATATTTAAGTTTAAACAACAACTTTAAACAATAATGATGTCTGTAGCATAATAGGCTAGATTTTAATTTATGCATGTGTATTAACTTCAAACTTCTTTTTTTACTCCGTATTAGTTTAGACAACTTTTTTTTGAAAGGATTAGTTTAGATAACTTATAATTGTGCAATTGAGAAAAGAGTTTGAAATTTTAAAAACTACACTTTTTACCATTTTCAATGTGACGAAATAATGAGTAAAATAAAGAGTAAAAGCATTTGAATTTGTCACTATTAAAATTAAAAAGTAATTAGACATATCATTTAGACAAAACGTAATCAATTTCAGCATAATCAATCAATTCGACCAATTTTATTGTTATCAAACGGGCTCTATATTATACTGAAGGGTTGTTTACTCTTAATCTATCAAGTATTGTCTGGATTAAGACGTCTGTGTAGGTTAAGATGTATATCAGGATAAAATGATATTTGTATATGAAGTTGTTTATTTAGTATGGTGAATAAACGGTCTGAATCAAGTCAAATCATCAATTTAGTATTGTTCTTAGATTATAGTGTCAATGAGAAACTTCATTTATTAATATAAATTTATTCCACAACCAATTTTAAAAAAAATCATATTTAAAAGAGATAATTATCCTAGACATGACTAAAACTTGTTCAGTTTCTCAATCTATGACCTATATAGTTTTTTTACCAAAATAATATCAAAAATCATAATATTTTATTAAAATTCGTAATTAATAAATAATTAAATAATTTAGGTGGACAAATAAACCCTTTACATTAAATTTATAAATCCTTAAGCTCCTACTCTTTTCTCCAAACCCTAGCCTTAATACACCCACCTCCATAGATTGGCCCGCGGCCGTACGTCCGCCGCCACCTCCCCATGGTCCGCCGTCTGCCACCGTCTCATGGCCTGCCGTCCGCCGCCGTCCAGGAGCACGATTGCCATAGCCAGTCGCTTGATTGCCCGACCACCCCAGCCCCACACCTGCTTGCCACAGCCACCGCCTAGACCGACGCCACCAGCCCCCACCATCGTCCCTAGACATGTGATTTGTCGCCGTCCCGATCCATGCGCACCACCGCCATCATGACCCATGTGATTTGCCGCTCAGCCCGCCTCTATCCATGCGATTTTCTATTGGAGTGTTATTTGTTAACAAAACCTAGCAAGGAGGAAGGGGGCGAGTGCGGCGCAGGTTATGTGAAAAAGGTTGTAGCAATTTTGACACGGAGAAAACCTATCAAAACCTATCATATCCACCTCTTACATAAAAGGTGGAGATAGGTTTGTGGACATTATTGGACACGGAGAAGGATTTGCTTTTTCTTTTGCTGCTAGGTGGCCCTCAATTTTCATTTTTTCTTTTCTATTTTTGAAATTAGGGTTTGTGGGCATTAAATTGAGACAGTGAATATGCGCATTGAACATCAAAATAGATATTGTTGAGTACGACAGTGAATCTCTACAATCTAATAAGACTGAATGAGAGTTAGGGTATTGTGGGTATAAAATTTTTGTTGGTGGTATTTGTAAGGTTAATTGACATGTACAACATACTTACATACTTGTAAACTTGCAACCCGTTTAGCCTTATCTCCCTGCATCCCGTTTGCCTCCGTTAAATATTCCCAAGGCTCGGCACCTTTCGGCTTCTCGCTTCCTCTTTAGCCGAACTAGACATTCCCTAGCCTTCGATGGAGTCACAAACCAACCAGACCAGGGATCTTCGGTTCAGCAACAGGGACTCAAGCTTCGTCTTTGGCCGCACAAGGGCATCCCGTCGCACATGCCCTCTCTCGCGTCCTTTCGTCTTCTTCGGCGTTTCTCTGTAAGTTTTCTTTTTATTTCGTTGAAGTGTTATTACTCTGGCATTTATGAATCTGTTTAATTTCTTTTCTGCCTATACATCAAACCTTCCCCTCCCCGAAGGAAGTTGTGGAAATCCAAGGGACACGTTCATCTTCACATCTTCTCTACCCTGACATGTTCTTCCATTGGCCGACGATTTTCCCCGCAACCTCACATTTCTCAGGGTGCGTGTTCTTTCCTTGTTTGTTATAGTTTTCCCCTTTTTTACACAGGTTGCACAAACACACTATATATGAACACAGGTTGCACAAAGCCACAAACACACTATATATATTAAGAGTAATTCTGCGGGGTTAACAACTTCTCCACTAATAAGAGTAATTAGTAATCTCTTTATTAATCTATTTAACCGGTAAAAGCTTCTCAATACAGAAATGGGTGCACATTTGTTGTCTTCTTTGCCTTTTTGCCTTGTTGTTCATTGTGAACTAGCAAAAACAAATCAATTATTTGCATTTTGATAATGTCTTTTCAATGTGTTGACTGGAAGTTTTGGTTCAGTTTCATGAATAATTTTGTTTCTTTGTAATTTTGAGTACATGTGTTAACTTTGATTTTCTACCATATAGAATATACAATTTTTTCTTCCTATTCTCAGGCTGTTATGCTAAACTGTTTACTTTTCATGTCTGATGTTAGGTTAGTTAACATTAGGTCTGTTGTCTTTTTAGATGTGAGAATTTAACCATGTTGGTTTCGAATTCTTGTATTGATTGTAGGTTCTAATAATCCAGATTGCGAAATCAGTTGCTATGGATTGATGAAAGGAGTTTCCCAATTCTTACCCTCTTCTTCCATTAAGTCATTTGCCGTTCTCATATTTGTTCCTTATATTTTACTTTGTATACGTATTGGTTGTACAATATTCCTCCAATAAAACTGATTTCCCTGTAGGGATAGCAGGATCTATCATGTTTTTGTTTCATTGGAAGGAAATAAATGTACAGAGGTAACATCATTATTATCTTATGAGACACATGGATTCAATTTGTACCTTTTGTATGTTAAAAAATTGTTTTCCAGAACAAGTTTAGCCACTTCTCTCCTAAATATGTAACAATACATACAAACAGTTTGAAAAAAATATGTTTTGTAATTGTGATAAGAAATGCAAGTATTATTCAAATAATTTTAAGTCTAAATCTGATTTGAATAATAAATAGTTATGGACTATCCCTGGTGAAGTGTAAAACAAGGCAAAAGTAACCTCCACATGAGTAATGACTAATGAAGCTTTGATTTTATCTATTCTTTCATTTTCTCTGTGTCCAGGAGTGTAAGGAAGCTCAAACATTCAGGTATCCATAACAATGTGACACCTTGTTTAGTTTACCAGGTCATAGTGGTAATCAAACTCTCCCAGATATGTTATTTATTCTTTCTATTTTTAAATAACAATATATTTGGGACTGAATCACTTCTGTGTGTGTTTGAGTACATTTATGTTAAGGAAAACATTTAAGGATTACAAATGCATAAAAATCTGATCTGTGCCTTGAATGCTTAGCTCCAGGTCATTTACAAAAGGATTAAACTCAGTCATGGCCCCCAAATTGACCAAATTTATAATCGCCTCCGATTCAAAAGGTGCATTGAAAATTTTTAATAGTAATGAAACTGCTAACTAGCTCAAAACTATTTTCATCTCAAAATCAGTAAGTAACAAAGCAACTTGGAGATTGTATATTCTCTCAGAGAGATTAACGTTGTTGTACACTCCTTTACCAAACAAAGGGATTTCACCGAAGACTTTCTGATTCTTGAGTGGTTACAAATGCCTTATTGTGTAAGGGGAATATCTATATGTAAAAAGTAGGAATTGGCTATCTTAAACAGTTTTTACAGCTGAGTTTTATCCCCCTCCAACGTGTCCTGATGCATCAAATTGTCTGAAATTTGGAATCCCTTTTGCTTCACATACCCAGTTTGATTTAGCTTAGGTGAGTTGGTTTTTATCTCTTATGTAAATGGGACCAAGATGTTGGAAGTGGGAGCTAGAGGGTATACTTCCAGACTTTTAGTTAAAACATGGTTGCTAATTGGAATCCAATATTTTATAGTCTTATAACAAAAATATAGTGTAAGACTATAGGGACAATTTGTGTTAACATATTTTTGAAACCAAGGCACAAAAAAGGGTTAAATCAGAAATAATATACGGACTAATGTAATATCTGGACTTGTGCAAATGAACAAAGTGACCTCTAGCACTTAAAAATATAAACTTATGTGAACCAAACCCAAAAAAGCCCCGTAAATCTGATGTGAAAGAAGACAAATCTTATCTCTACCTCTAGCAGTGACTTCTTATCCACGTGTCTTCTTTCAAAAGGGCGATGTCAAACCATGACATCGCCCTTTCCACAACAACCTCTGGCATTGATTCTTCTGAAAAGTTACTTCATACATAGTAAGTGAAAGGAAACCAGATTGTTCATTTAAACATCAAAAAGAAAAAAAACATACAGAATTATTTTTATAAACCAATCAACGCATTGCTCTCTCTTAAGATGATTTTTTAAACTATTTCTCTATTTCTAAAACTTGATGCTTTTGATTGGTTTTTCAATTTAATAAGTTTGAACCATCATATGTTCTCCATACTTTATTTCATTCTGAAGTTCATCAATACTTTGCTGCATAATTTATAATCCTTTCTGAGGTTCAAACGGAAAATTAGTGCTGAACTACTTTCTTTGATAGATTTTGTAGGGTCTAATAAAAATTTTCTTCTTTCCCCTTACTTGAATAATTGAGTATATCACTACATTAGGCTATTCTGCAACCCCTGCCCAATCACTTCATGGTTAATATGGCTGGATGTGCTGAATTTTCTGGAAGGAAAAGCATTTGGTGGAATTACTTGAAGCCAAATGAGTAAATCAACAGCTTTTGAAGTAAATCAATTGATCGTATTTACTATCTGTTGAGGTGATTTATGGTGTGTGCTTTTCGCTATTTTAAGTTATCTTGCTATGCTCTTCTTCCGGACGGTAATGCTTACCGGCTTACCGCTCATCTTTTTCTATGCCTCAAGTCCTCTTCCTAATTTTTTTGCACTCATTTAAATCTAAAATGGAACATTATTTGGTTTCATCGTATAGAGTCTTTGTTAGTAAGCAGAAAAAGTTTTTCAATCCTTCATGCATGTGTGATAGTTGACACATGGAATGATGAGAGTTCAAAGAGCCTAGATTTTTGTCTAATATTGTGTTACGTCTACGTTTTTCTTTTTGTTTTTTCACGTGGGTCTTACCCCTATGTTTTTCTTTCTTTCTGTTTTTTCTGTGCAAGGTTTCAGAGGAAAAACTGTTTATTTTTAATGCTTTATTAAGATTTTCATGATCTTGTCAGTAGTTTCGCTTGAAAATTTTTGTGACTGTTAATTTACGTTTAAATCATATTAATACTCCATAGTTGGACAATCTAACGACATGCGTCTGACTTTCTATAGATGACACGTTTTATTAATTTATTTGGGATTATTCTATATTGTGCTGAAGTATCTGCCTAATATCCAGAGAAGTTGTAGTAATCTCCGTGAAGAATATCTCTGGACTTGTATCCATCGATAACGATAAGAATTGGCTTTGCATTGGTGTAGACAATCACACAAATGTGCTCCTTCCAGATCCTGCAAGTTCAAATTCATGTTTCTTTATTAGCTAGGGTCTGCTATATTTAGCAGGCTTTGATATCTGAATGAATACATAACAAGAGGGTGTTAATAATGGTTTGCAATGTCTTGTATATTTGTATTATAAATGTGGCCTGTACGGTTTATCCTAAACCAGCACTACAGAATTAGTTTTTTCTTTCGCATTTATGGCCTATCTTCTACTTCACCCCCTACATGATCCAGCAAGAGTTTTTTGGGGATAGCTGAAGAATTTAAATTATTCCAATAATTGATTATATGTTTGATCAGTAATCTTTATGATTGATTGTAATCAGAATCGGTTATTATTTGGGTAAAATTTGTGGTAAAGTGGTTTGAAATAGAACATTTCATTTACGTGCAACAAATTCCTTTTTGCAAGGTAAAATATTATGGTAACAGCTGACAGAGAAGAAGGTCGCAAGGTCACAGTCGGCCAATTGTAGATCTGCACCCGCCTCACGCTGCCACATCCCCACAGCCGCACGGCACCCGCCCTTGCAGCATGATAGTCTGCTTATCACAATCTCACATCTCGGGTTGTGGCCCTGTGGAAGTTCTGAGTGGCTGCTTCCGTAGCTACGGTAATCGCCCCAGGTAGCAGAAATTTTGGAGATTATCAATGTGCACAGTTCAGTAGGGTTTTCTTCACGTATGCCATGGAGCTGGGGTTGGTCACTGTGTTGAGAGCAGTATGGCTTGCTGCAATTCTTCCCATTCCGATTACCTTGATTCCTCCCTCCAAGTTTGTTTGGTTTCACAAATTCTTGCTGAGGTTCGCTAGGCGAGGCAAGATCATGCAATCTTCATCCCATAAGTTAATTAATTATACATTCACTTTTGCTAACTTTTCATTCACTTTTGGCATACGCTCAAGATTCTACCTTCGACTATGTAACCCAATTAACAACATTTTCTAAAGGAGGTTAACTTTCCTATTTTCTCTTATATCTTGGGACACTACACACAAAAATATGACTTCACACAATGTCTTAATAGATCTTAGCCTCACTTGTATTTAATCTATGAAAGTATTCTATCTCATCATGAATATTTTACACTAAATAAGTTCATTTTAAAGAATTCCATTTCTATCTTGCTTAGCAATTAGGAATTTAGGGTGTCCATTCCACTTCTTCCACTAAATAATAATTTTTCCTACCCTTAAAATGATATTAAATTTCACTAAAGTCTCCCTCTTAAGTTTGACATCGCAATACGGTTAATAATCTTATGTTATTATATTATAAAAACTAATGTCCACACAGAAGTTGGAATTGGGCATTAACCCATCGCGCATCGCGCGTTTATATAACTAGTATGATAATACATATGTTGTACATGGCAGTGAATGAATGCATTAATGAAGTTTGTTGTGCAGTGATTATGACCGGGAGTGCATTAACACAGAGTAGTAATTTCGACATGAAACACAATATACTTAATTAAACGTAAAATAATAAAATTATTAAAACTAAAAAAATAAAAAATAAACCTATAAATAATTTTCTAAAGTAATGAGAAGAGATTTAATTTTAGGGGAAGTGCAGTGATTATTACCGGATGTGCAGTAAAGTCATGCATTAATTTTGTGCATTAATGGCAATATAAAGTGCAATAATTTTAATTGGACGAAATTAGTGCAAAATGCACATATTTTAAATAAGGTTATTTTTGTCATTCAACATTTAAATATAAACGAATTTTCTATTAGTTTTTGTATTTTTTGTCATACAAAGGTATAAAAACTAGTTAGGTTATAGATCGAGAAACTCATTGAGTTTTAGTCATATTCTAGTAAATTTCCCTATTTAAAATTAGCTAAATAACGTGATGCCCGTGCATCGCACGAGTTTGAAAACTAGTTAATTAAATAATGAAAGAGAATTATTTTGAATTGGAATATACTTCTCCAATTTGCCAAGCTTTAGTTTAGTCACCAAACATTCTCCCATTGGTTGTGAAATTTGAATGTTTTTTCAATCACATTATGCTAAACATTTTGAAAATAAAAGAGCGGCTTTTATAGAAGGTAGATTCTATGGTACCCAAAATGTACAATACCATTGTCCACTTGGACCAATCAGAATGTTGCAGTTGAATTATTTAAATCTATATTAAAAATGATTTAATGATTTGGACCAATCATGTGAGTGGTAGGTACGATACCCCATTTTTTAAATGGGTACCAGAGTTGTCATCTTTATAGAAAGATCGAGTCAACATACAAGACAACTTCCAGACAGTTATGACAGATCTGATCGCCAGTCCTAGAAATATACATAGAATCAACCACCACATACAGAACGTACTCCAAAAATCAAAAAATTCAAACGAAACCTACTCAATAAATAAAATCAATTACTATTGAAGAAAAAATAAATTTGAAAATAAGTCTTTCAACAATATTCTTCTTGGCATAAATGTGGTTTGGATGAGAACGAGCTCTACCAATGTCTACGCATTCCAAAAGAAGACGGACAAAAACCCCTGACCTGGCGAAGCTGACCGGGACACCAAAAAACTCTCCACATCGAGAGTGCTAAACCAACCCGGAGCATCACTGCCCGGGAAAGAACCGCTGCAAAACAAAACAAACACAACTAGAAAAGAAGTATCAAATTGGGTCATATCTCTAGAATCTTCGAGATTTGATATCAAATCATCCTCCGACTTTCGTGATCAACGGATCAAAGTTTAAGGTGCCTCCGTCCTTCTAACCAAACACTATATTTCACACTATGGGGCGGTTTATTTAGGACTTAATGGACTTAATGGGCTGAGTGACTTAATCATTCAGTTATAAGTGTGTGTTTACTTGCAAAGATAACTTATTCGCGTAGACAATTCTTAACTTATTGATTAAGCGAAAGAAGAATACTCCTTTGGATTCAGACATTGGAACGGACAAACATCCCTTACTTTAACCCTACATAATCTTTCGCCCTCTAAACGAGTTTCTCATCGTCATACGCAGCAGAGACAACGAGAACCATCAGCCGGCGGTCATATACTCTCGCAGCAAATATAATTGAGACCTCCACAATCACATATGTCTCTAGATTTTTTCTTCACCACTTTTCTTGAAGATTGATGCTCTCTCTTGTCCGTCAAAATCTGGCATGGGTTGTTTGCCCATTTGATAAAAGCTTTTAACTTGATTAGATCGGATTACTTCCTTTAGCCCTCCAACAGATTCAAGTTTTTCTCCCCTTTCCTTATTCATCGCAGAGGCAAAAAACTCCTTGACTGTAATATGACTCTTTTGTTTAAGGAATTTATAGTATTATTATTTTCAGGCATATAAATTCATTTTTTTTAATAAGAAAAGTAAACAGAAAAGATACATGCAATACTTAATCCAGACAGGAGGGTTATTTGGTCATTTGACATGATTCAGACTTCTTATTCGGCACACTCAGTAAACAGTAAGTTATCTCAGTATCACTTAATCCAGACAGACAACTTAATGCAGACAGACGTGTTAATCCATTCAGGACTTAATGGGGAAAAAAGTAAACAACCCCTATGTTAAAATGATTAACACCATTGCGTCCATATGACCATATCCCGTGGTGCATATAACCATATGCAGTGCTGCCGAATCTATTGCTTAAAACTAGATTCATGCATTCACATGTATGAGGTTTAAAATTCAATATTGTTAGGGATGTCAAAAAAACCGACCCACAATGACCCACCCTGACCCGAGACATTTGGGGCGAGTCCGCCCCGCTCCGTCTTGCAAATGGGGCGGGTCCGCCCCACCCCGCCTATACAATGGGACGGGTCCGGGTATTAATATTGACTCGTGCCGCTCCGACCCGCCCCAATCCACTCAATATATAAGTATACATATTTTTTCTTAAATTATACTACAAATATACTTCAACATGCATATGTGTGTATACAATAAATCGTAATTTTTTTATTTTATAATACTAGTCTTTTACCCGTGCGTTGCACGGGAGAGCAGACTAATCCAAAAGTTAATTGAAATAAATGATACATATAAATAGTAAAAGAAAAGCGACCTAAAAATATAAACAGAATTGTGTACATATTATATAAGATATATTTTAAATATACTTCAAAACTTCAGTAGAAATTTTTATATGAAATATAAATTTGATTCTTTTGCAACATTACTTGCACTACCTAATGAAATTGAATTAGTTATAAATATCATTCCGTCAATTTTATCTCTTTTCTCATATATGAATACCATTCCGTTGTAGTTTTTTCTTAGTATCTTTAATTTAATGTTATTATTTATAGGTTTCCTAAACAGAGGACAGATCATATCAGGCCGGCCTGACGGCGGTGCCGAGGCCATCAGAGGCCCTTCCCGGTGGAATTTTTTGATGAACGTTTTTGAGCATGTTCCTCATCAAGTCTAGTTTGTTTATACCAAATTTCAACTAAAAATACAATCGGGAAGACAGTGAAATAAATTCTCTACCAAAACTGTGCAGTTTATGTATATATAAAGTGCAGTTTTTGTAGAACATTTATTTGAGTGTCTTCTGGATTGAATTTTTAGCTGAAATTTGGTATGGATAAACTAGACTTGATGAGGAACATGCTCAAAAAAGTTCATCAAAAAAATCCACCGGGAAGGGCCTCTGATGGCCTCGGCCTGACAGCGGTTTCCGTCAGGCCGGCCTGACAGGATCGGGCCTCTTCCTAAACATACCCTATATTTTAATACTTAGCTATTATAATTGCATCAGAAATAATTATAATAATTGTATAATCCAAGAGTAGTCATCAATGAAGAAGGCAATAAGTAAGTGCATTAAGAAAATGTATGTCTGATGTGTGTTTTCTCGCACTTAAAATAGTTGTAGAAAAGTGGTGTATAGTACGAGTATCGTCTCCACAGGGACGGACAAAAGGGAATTAAAGATTAACTAAATTCAGCGATTAAAAAGAAATAAAATAAATAAATGTAAGTGTGCGAGATTGATTGGTGAATTAAAATTAAACTAATGCTATTGAGCGAATGAAAAGATTTGGTTTTCCTTAATTAACGACTAAGGGAACAGGAATTGATTCCGGGGTTAACCAGATTTCTGGCAGAACAGGCCTAATCACATGAATTTAATTTAATTGAGCCTAGCTAATCATTACTAAGTTCTTACCGCTCTCGCGGCGTAGAGTACAATAATTTAGGGGTCCAGGCTGATCTCTCATGCGACAAGATCCTAAATTATTGCCAAAACGAGCGAGCTTACGGCCCCTTAATCGCTACTAATCTCTTAGCGAACGATTAAGTGTGTGTGAATGTGTCCTAGAACAAATTAGATCTCTCTTAATTTATTCTATAAGCAATTGTAATTCTAGTGGCCATCTAGGTTACAAGAGATATCAGTTAAATTATTCAAACACAAATTAAACGGCATTCATGCAATTAAACCGACAAGAATCTAGCCATCAATCATGCTTAACCCCTTCATCAACCCCAAATCCCTAATTAAACTACTCACGCCTCATAATTGACGAATCAAAAGAATTGGGATGAGTAGAAATAATTGTCATTAATTAAAGAATTGAACTTACAAAGAATCCCAGGTTCTTGGATTAAACAACGTAAAAAAACGCAGATAAACTCGTCCCTAGGCCTCTCTCCAAAGTTCGTCACCCCCAAAAGTGGGTATGGAGGCCTTATTTATAGAAAACAGTAGAATTTGAGCTGATTTAGGACAAAACGGGGCCAGGCACGGTGCCAGGCACGATCGTGCCTGCGACCGTGCCTGCGGAAGGGACGCGTAAAAAATAAGCAGACACGATCGTGCCTGCACCGGACACGATCGTGTCTGGCTGCCAGTAGGTCCGCGTCAATTCAGATGACAGGCACGATCGTGCCTGCCCTAGGCACGGCCGTGCCTGACCATTTCTTCATCGTTTTTCTTCGTTTCTCGTTCCGAATGCTCCCGAATGCCTACGAGGTCGATCCAAATGCTCTTTCTTCACCAGAATTTCGTCGTGAATCTCCCGGTGGCC